TTTGTTATTCATTTTTTCTTCAGTTTTTAATAAAAATAATGATTAATATATGTACATACACACACACACACACATATATATATATATATATATATGTGTGTGTGTGTGTGTATGTACATATATTAATCATTATTTTTATTAAAAACTGAAGAAAAAATGAATAACAAATTTATATTCAAATTTACTTATTTTCTATGTTTACACGCGGTTTTTTCCACTTAGCATCTATATTACAAACCAGGCATAAGATATGCGATATTGTCAAGCATTTGCGATAATGTTTCTGGTTGGGCTCCATTGATTTCTGATACTTGTTGTGTAAGACAAGTCAAAGGACCCAGTGCACAGAGTAACGAGTCTAATAATACAGACAAACTACCCGAAACTGCTATTTGACCATCATGTTCTTTTAAGCGTTCACCGATAATGGTTAAACTTTCGCCAAGTAGTTTAAGATGTGCCGCGACATCAATCGGTTGCGTTCCAATCACTTTATACATTCCTGTACCAATTATTGGCTCGTTAACCAAATCTTTCCCAGCTTTATTCGTTGGAGGTGACATAGGCACACTTCCTATAACAGAGGGTACTCCTAACTGGAGAGTTTTTTTCGAAGAAATTGGTTTACTTTCTTTTCCATTACCTGTAATAGAAAACAAATATAAATAGATTAACAAATTATATATATATATATATTATTATATTATTATATGTGTATTATATTAATAAACACTATTTTATTATATACATGAAAAAAATATTCATAGCTTGATATATATCTATAAAATAATTCAACTCTATGCTACAAATAAGATCCGATTCAACAATTCTTTAACTAATGCACGTGCAAATAAAGCGTATTAAGATGAGTTGTCTAGCATATAAATTTAACAACTTCATTAACACCAATGTTCATTAACAATGATTCATTTGGAAATATCAATCGACCCACCAATTTTATTAATGAACTTTTTTCGCGAAGCAGGCGGTGGCATTTTCCAAACTGACTCATCTTTATTGGTAGAAGACATAGAATGTGGCTTTGCTGCTAAACGTTTGGCGCGTCTACGCCAATTATATTTCTCCAGGTTTGGGACCGTCGCCCAAAGTTCACCTAATCGTTTAGAAATTGCAGCGAAATCTATAAAAAGCAATAATCAATAAAATAATAATACTCTAATAAAAAAGGTGCTTTGTATGCTATGCTTATAACGAAGAAGGAAACTAAGAAAAAAAGCATATGCGTACCCATGTAAGGACATTGTTCCAATAATTCCTGCCTAATTTCTTTAGCCCACAACATATAAGCGGTAAATCTTGTTTTCTGTAAAAATGACGAATTTAAACGTGACTTATCTAACAACCTCCATTTTTATTTTTACATACCCCTTTGTCCTTACGTTGGGCTTTCATTCTACCTATTATTTTGCCATCCTTAATAATTAATTTTTTTTTACATTTTTCAAGCATATACAAACTATTCGCTTGAGAAGGTGTTTCCTGACCTGGTGGCTCTAACTTCCTAAATCCAGTTTCTCTATCATCGATCATCAAAGGATCTACATCGTCGTCGCTTCCAGAATCAATGCTGTAGCGATCTTCTTCATTCAACCCATTGGGATCATCAGAATCCGATGCAGACGATTGACCCTCATTATCGGATACCGTCTCCTGTTTAATTCTTTGCTGTCCTGAATGGGATCCTGAATTCTTTCTTTGTCGTGTGGTATTAGTTTGCTGAACTTGGCTTGGAGATATATGATGTGAAGATTCATAACGTTCCAACAATTGTGTCGCTTGTAATTGCGCTTTTTGTCGTTTATATTTATTATCCGAAAAGTCATCGGGTGATTCAAAATCGACAAGCTTTGAAGATTTCTTTCTTACTCGGCCACTTCGGGATATCCCTGTGACCTCTAGATCTGAAATATAAAGCAGACTGCACCTTGCCAAGAAAAGAAAAGAGTCCAAAATAATTTTATAGCATCTATCAAAACTACTTCTCTATGACGAATGAATTACGTTCACAACTATTACTACGTTGGAAATAATAAAAATACTAAATACTAAGGGTGTGAAGGTAATTCGTTGCATTATACATTATATATTTTTGGTTTATGTTAATAAGAAATATGAATCATTCTAATACTAAAATTAGATGTAAAAAATTACATCAAATGCAATAATCTATTTTGAGCTATAATCAATGAATGTTAAAGCTATGCTACGGAAAAAGTTTCATGTATATATATATATATATATATATCTGTACTATCGATGTTATTTGTATTCTATAAATGCATCTTTAATTTCATTTCTAATTCATTATTATTTATCATATTTGATGTAAAATATGATAAATACGTAAACACGAAATGACCATACACCGCTTTAGTTTGTTTACATTCCGTTGCATACAGAAGCGCTACTAACCAAAATACGAGTTTCGATAAATATTGCAAGAAAAAAGTAGCTTAATTAATATACCATGCACGTATATCGTGCTAAATACTGCAAGCAATATCTGCGAACAAGCATTTGATCTACTTAATGATTTTGAATATAATACATTAATATCTCTCACCGTCACTCTTCTGTCGTTTTGGTGACACGAACACATCCATTGCACCTGCCTTTCGATCGGAAATCTTCGAATGCTTCTTGCGCCACGACGACTCCTTCGATTTCGCGGGGTTTCGAATATTCCTTTGCATCGCGTTAATTATAATCAAACTTAATATTATATTAAAGATTAAATTTTTCAACTATTTTTACGATTAATCCTGTTATATACGAGCAAGATTATTTACTAATGCTTGTTTTTAAAAACAAGTGCGAAGAAAACTACGCGCATGTCATATCGCGTTTCGGTTTGGCGCGTTATTTGAATCTCATTCTATCGTACATTCCTCTTTGTTAGATTAATATTACAAAATTGTTACATCTATATTTACAAATTATTAACGATGACTATTTAAAATAGAATACAATGGTTTCTTCCGTTTTTTTTTTCTTTATTAAAAATGCATAATATGTACAGTAAATTTCTGTTTTCCCTAATATTTTGTATTTTATATAAATATATAACAATTAAAATTCATCTTCTTGTTGCCAACCATCGTCATCAGATAAAAATCTTCTTTTATGCGTTGTATTCATATAAGGTCTCAATGCCCACTCCGTATCAGCAGCGGATGCATTATCTAACGTTCCTAATTTGATCTGATATAATTTTAATTGGAACCTTGGTCCAACTTCTTTTAATTCGACATCTTTTCCATTGACTTTTTTATAAGTATGATGACGGAAGCATATATAGTCATCATGATTAGCAAAAGTAATGATTCTTTTGCTATCTTCTTTTGGAACCGGGAATAAATATTTGAGAATGCTTACAATCCTATTACCTAACTTAGTTTTAAAGTTATGGAAAATCAAGTGCGGATACTCTTCCGACATAGTTCCTAGGTTTGGTATGTCGTGTCGCATTATGACATCTGATATGGTAAATGATGCAGTCGGTCCATAAGGTAAATGACATATTACAAGAGTATCGGGAATGCCTCTGTGTTCATGGACGATAACAAAATCTGTTACATCGTTTGAACTGCATGCATTTATTAATTGCTTCATTTCGTAGTTACCACGATTCATTCTTTGAGAGTTGGGCAGAATCAAACGTAATTCTTTTACAAACATTTTAAGCCTTGAACTAGGATCTCGAGAAGTAGTGATTACAATTTTTGGATTTTCAACTCCTGCCCAACGATATTCATCATCCTCGTTGGAAAGTCCAGTTGCTCCTCCATCTGTACCCATAGTTGCTGCTAATTGTGGCCCCAAATCTTCCCATTCTAACTTTTGTTGCAACGATAATGCATTTTTTCTCAAATTCGGATGTATTGGAATATTTTCATTCAAACTACGTTTTATCTTATCTTTTTTTTCTTGAATGTTTTTTAATTTATCTTGAATGGATTTTCTATAAAGATACTCCCTTCGAAGTCGTGCTTGTCTGCGCAACATTTTTATCTTTTTTAACTATTTTTTATATTATAAAAAAGACAATATTTATATTAAACAGTACACGTGTTTTGTCACTGAGCGTGCTTCCATAAATGTTTTTTACAATTGATGGGCCGCCATGTTTGGTTTGCAACGCCTTCTACCGTCACATGCGTGAAGTACTTGACGAACAATGGAACTTTGTCGGTAATACAGAAATTTTACTTAACGACGACAAGATACCAACTGAGTTTTCTTTTTTATCGACAGAAATGTCGATAAGTAAAAGTTCTGTCGGTAAATGAAGAAGACGTTAATTCAAGTACCAACAAAGAGAAAAACAGATCTCTGTATTTATCATTTTTACGATATAATAGTACATACAATATATGAATTATAATTATTTTTCAATGAATGAATTACTTGAAAAGAATCGTAAGAGATATAATATGAATAAATTAATAATAAATTCATTAAATAAATATATATAATATTATTTTTTTCAAGGTTATTGAGAGAAAATATCTCATTGATTAACAAGATAAATCTAAACCTATAAGAAAAATATTTATATAAATAATAAATCTATCGCTTTGATTTTACATCCAAAGTTGCATTGCATAATTTTAATCTTCTTATCGATATATACAGTAGCAGACATATATATACTCACGAGCACTTGAGAAATTGATGTTTTTATTACCAAATTGGAAAATAGATGCAATTATACGATATATACTTGTATATATACAGTAAGTGTAAATGTTACTGCATACAGTAGTCACAAATTTTGTACTTATCTTCAAATATTAACAAACAACAAAATTGTTTAATTTCAGGTATAATATTTTAACCGGATACATAAACAATTTATTAAAAAAATTGCATTCTTTTATTTTAAACAAACACACAATAAATGTACGAAACTTTTGATTCACCCTGATATATGACTTGCATTATCACCGAACGTCAAATAATACAAAAATAAAAATATAAAAATAAAAAAATAAAATTAACACGGATGTAATGGATTAAAGAATTCAATAAAGGTCATACACGGTGGTATAGTGTGTGTCTGGATAAGAGTGCATAGATATGAGCTATTGTTCTCATCACTTGACTCAATTAGACGGTCAATCGGAGTTACGTAACACGCAAAATATTCGCCTACCTAATGTTCACGTTATTGCTAGATAGCAAGAGACGAACGTTTAAACACCCTACCTTGAACAACGATTTAGCCAATGAATGAGCGATGTTGTCGACAATACACCATCATCACCTACACCACCACTATTACCACAACCCACAACCGTCACCATCAATCACGTTAAATCATCATTGATGGGGACAAGGTATTATTTTCTAATTTCTCTATTTTTCTTTTCCTATTTTCCCTTTTAAGGTCGCCTCTTACGACAAACAGGGATTACAAAGGGGGTATCCTTCCCCCTCCCACCCCCCTACGGGGATAACAAGGTATTACTTTGAAGTATATATTTTCGTCTCGTTTGATTTTTTTATTCGTATATAAAGCAGCATAAAATATTACACATACGATAAGAAAAAAAAAAAAAAATTATATTTCTATCTTCATGCTTGTGTTATCATTTTTATATATGAGCTTACGGATTTTTATACGAGTTTATGTACGTATGTGTGTGACTGTTTATGTGGGTGTCTACCTTGAATAAAAAAAAAAGGAAAAAGTAAAGAGAGAGAGAGAGAGAGAAAAAAAAGGCAAGAAAATGAAGATTGATACATCAATGTTAATGTTTCATAAAGATATAATCGCTGTTAGCAAAGTCAATTAGATTTGCTAGTTAATAGTGGGGATCCAATGAAAAACTTCTTTCATAAATGTTATAAACTCGTTTCCTGGGTTTCTGAAGGTTAAACGTTAATAAATCAACCCTTTCTAATATATATATATATATATATATATATACTAGCAGTCGCGGTCACGCTTTGCTGTGGTTAAGTTTTACGTTAATTCATATTATAGCAAAACTATTTAATACAATGAAATGAATATTTACGAATAAAGACACAAAAAAAATCTTTTTTATATCTTTTTTTCTCCCTCGTTACACTTATATCTAACCTTCTATTAATTATACTTTTTATATATTTAATTTTTGTTAAGAAACTCACACGCGCGTGTCTTTTTATATTCATCCTTGTTCTTATCTTTTTTTTTGTAACATTTAACATGCAAATTCAATTACAAAGAAAATTTGATTTAGAGTTTTATGAAAGTAACAGATCTAATCAATAAATAATTTGCAATAAAAAAAATATTCGGACTATAAATGAAGATAAAAACTATCCTATATTTTAAGTTTGATCAAACTGCACACTGCGTTCAAAATTTAATTAAAATTGGTTCAGTAGTTTAGGAATCCATCGTGGAAACAAGATGTGACAAGAGATTTATAAATATTAGATATAAGATATACATTTTTCCATGAATGATTTCTGTAACGAGTTTTTAGAAAGACTAGAGAGGGGGGGGGTGGGAAACGTATTATGAAATACTCCATATAGAACTTTGTTTAACTTTTACGTGTAGAGAAACTGCTTTGGGAAAGAGAAAAAAGAAACAGGGATATCGTGTTTTTGTATCTTTTTTTTTTTTTTCTAGAAATCATCTGCAAGTTTAAATGTATCTCGTGAATTAGATTGATAAGGCATTAGATTGATTTGCATATATGCAAATTTATGTGCACTCCTGCGTTATTCTTAATTAAATATCTAGACCAATATAAATTTCTTATTTTTTGGATTATTCAATAATAAAATATTCAACGTGTTTTTTTTTTTTATCTGATATAAAAATATGTATTTAACATTTATTTGTTACATATCTAATACAAAAGTATTATTATTATTATTATTATTCGTGTGAACTCTGATCATAATACTTTTTTACGCGTATGTGCGTGGGTGGGTGTGGAGGTGGATAAAATATAATTTAAATAAATAGAAGTGATAATAATGATTTTGATAATTGATAATAATATTTTATTATTATTCAATTATTGCGACAAAATATCAATTAATTTAAAATTCAATGATATTACGCGAGAAAGGGTGAACAAATTATGTCATTAAATTTAATAATCAATATTCTTGTCCCAACAGTATATTAATATATATGAGTTTCAAAGGGAAAATTGAAGACAGTTAATAAATTTTGATGAACAA